GGATCCAAATTCTGCATTACATGAGAAGATTAAAAATATTTACAGTCTACAGTAATGTCTCCCTAACTGACGCTCAGATCGTGCACAAAAATGGACAATTTGGGAAGAGAAGAGACAATTGATATAATATATAATAATAATATAATATAATAACTATATTAATATATTATATTAATATATAATGATAATATAATATAATAACTATATTAATATATTATATTAATATATAATGATAATATAATATAATAACTATATTAATATATTATATTAATATATAACATAATAATATACTATAATAATATATAATAAATATAAAAATGAACCGCGAGGATCGAATAATCGTCTCTCTTTTCCCTAAATTGTCCCTTTTTCTGGACAATCTGAGCGTCAATTCGAGAGACATTACCGTATCTACTATTTCACACAGAAATATATTTTTCCCCGGCCCTGTATGTAAACCCATCCGCGATGCTCGATAAAAAGCGAAGACAACCGAACTCGGATAATCGAGACTTCCATTACCGTGCCTCGAGAACTATTACAGCCAGATCGATAGAGAATTTGTCGCATAACGCGCTGCAAAAGCGATATCGTTGGCCGACGGTGCGCATTATGCGAGCACGAAGGGAAAACCTATCCCGGGTACCCGTCTATCTTCCTGGACGCCCACCTTCTCTGACAACGTCAGCTTTGCCGATCTCTATCGTGTAATGAGCTGTCGGCACCTCGTCGATCGCCGTGCGGTACAATATTTTCGGCTCGAAGATGATGCAGGGATCCGGCTCCTCTATGCAGCTCAACAGAAGACCTTTGGCCTGGCTCGGTCCGCGGGGCATAACGACCTTAAAAAAAAAGAAAACAAAAACATAAAAGATAGAAAGAAAAAACGGACCTCTCTGATTAGTATAGTTTAGCCATGGTTTTCCGCATCGCCGACAGCCGCGTTCACCCTCGAACCGAACGCGACGATCCGCCGCGCCGCCGCGACCTTTTACGTTTTCGAAAGTATTCGCGCGTCATAAGAGTGCAAGTCGTAGTTACGGTTAATGCGTAAGGGTATCGGCATCTTCGCGGTGATGTAATTTCCTTGTTAAGCCTTTCGAATGTACGTCGGGGAAAACAAAAATTTACGATCTCGTCGCAAGGTAATGCGAAAAGAAACGGATCGAGGGAAATTTCGGATATTCGACGAGCCTTTCACTGACAGCCAATGCGGCAATGCTTTGCTCGGTATTATTCAATCATGTGATACAATCACTTCCGTAATTTTTTTAAACAGTTCTAATACCTGCTGCTCGCGTTCGAAGAACGGCGTGCGAACGGCTCTTTGTTCGCGACTGTTCTTCATTCAGTGTTCTTTTTTCTTTTTTTAAAATATTTAATATATACATATATATATATATATTAAATATATAATTAATAATAGTAAATATATTTTATATATAATATATTAATAATAAATATCTAATTAATATATATAATATTATATAATAATTAAAAACTAATATTATTATTATATAATAATATTATATATATAATTAATAATAATAAATATATATAATATATTAATAATAAGTATATAATAATAATTATATATTAATATATATATATAAATATATAATATATATTAATAATATATTAATCATAAATATATAATTTATATATATATATATATATATATTTAATACAATATTTTTTAAAATATTAAATATTTGGAGGAGCTGTTATCAGTTTCTCCTATTCTAAAATCCGACTGTAGGGGCCATAAGTCAACGACCGAAGAGTCCGAGAACGCGTTAGGGTTTCGGTGCGACCTCCGAAATCATAACAGCTGATCGCGGACTCCCGTGCGTTAACCCCGCGCGACGAAAGTGTGCGTGTTTGTATCGCGACGACGCACAGTGGTCGATTTCTATGCAAAAAGCGGGAAAAGGTCATTTTATATAAGTCAATGTCATATAATTTATTCGCTAGTATTCAGTTGACACTGGAGTTACGGAACCCGTCAAAATGACGGGTCAATAATTTTCTAAATGACGATTAATCGTTAAACATACATTTATGAGCTATTTATTCGATTTATATGTAACTTACAGCAAATGTTACAATGACACTTGTTAAAAATCAGGATAAATGTCTTATTGTTACCTTTATAAACTAATGTAATACAGCTGTTTTTCGTGCTCCGTAAATCTAGCGTTAAACATGCGACTTATTATTTACTATGATCTTTCGAGCACTGCTATTTGGCTTCAAAGTAACCCATCACCCAGTCATCCTAAATTTATATCATCGTTTACAATCATTTTGCACTTTGAAAATAAATCATTTTTACAGAATTTATTGTACTCAGTGTGTGCTCGAATGATGTCGCGCTCTCTAACATTCTCGAGGGAAGAAAGAAATTTCTATGGTGCTTCGCAACTAATGAAAACGACTTTTGTTTCGCATAAAGATCCGCGATCAGCCGAGGGTTTTTCAGAGAAAGCTTGGGAAAAAGTATTTGTCATCGCACTGCACTGTCACTGCAACGAGGATTGCTCCAGGTCTCGCGAAAATCGCCGGGCGCTTTCGTTGACACTGACTCGGGTGACGAACAAACGCGCGAATAGATAAGTTCGGTTATAAGAACATTTGGATTACAATCATTTCATACTTTGAAAATAAACCATTTTTACAGAATTTATTGTACTCGGTGTGTGCTCGAATGATGTCGCGCTCTCTAACATTCTCGAGGGAAGAAAGAAATTTCTATGGTGCTTCGCAACTAATGAAAACGACTTTTGTTTCGCATAAAGATCCGCGATCAGCCGAGGGTTTTTCAGAGAAAGCTTGGGAAAAAGTATTTGTCATCGCACTGCACTGTCACTGCAACGAGGATTGCTCCAGGTCTCGCGAAAATCGCCGGGCGCTTTCGTTGACACTGACTCGGGTGACGAACAAACGCGCGAATAGATAAGTTCGGTTATAAGAACATTTGGATTACAATCATTTCATACTTTGAAAATAAACCATTTTTACAGAATTTATTGTACTCGGTGTGTGCTCGAATGATGTCGCGCTCTCTAACATTCTCGAGGGAAGAAAGAAATTTCTATGGTGCTTCGCAACTAATGAAAACGACTTTTGTTTCGCATAAAGATCCGCGATCAGCCGAGGGTTTTTCAGAGAAAGCTTGGGAAAAAGTATTTGTCATCGCACTGCACTGTCACTGCAACGAGGGTTGCTCCAGGTCTCGCGAAAATCGCCGGGCGCTTTCGTTGACACTGACACGGGTGACGAACAAACGCGCGAACAGATAAGTTCTGCGTTAAGTTCTGCGCGCTCTATTGAAAGAGGACCGTGCGATCTTTCAGCCTCAGGAAATGTCGGCGCGATGTTGCGCGACGTAGTTCGCGTAATCGGGATGTATAGTGGCTCTACGGTGCGGTGCTTTGTGTGTGCGAGGAAAACTTTCTTCATGCATACGCAAAGTGTATATGTGTCGTACAATATTCATGGAATCTGTTCAAGAAAGTTGAGAGCCGACGACTATAGAGAACGCGTAACGGCAGCCGCCGCAGAATGCATCCTTAGACACAGAAATTCGTTTGCGATTGCTTGCACAAAGTGATCTCTTCTTTATTCTTACACCCGTTAAGTTCGTCGCATTAATTGGGCGCCGTCTGTATTCTTTTCAGATGTTAACAGAAACTTGTTCACTTGGCAAAGGCTAAGAAACTGTTTCCAAAAGTTGCAACCGATTGGAATGACAAGAAAGAAAAGAAAATAGAACACGCGTTTCTTAAATTCTTCATCAATTTGAAAAATGTGTTCTGATATATAAATAAAAAAAATGAATATATAAATGATATATAATATATCGTTGATAATATAATGAATAATAATATAAATATATAATTATAATAATATAATAATATAATTATAATAATATAATAATATATATAATAATATATA